CCCTTTCAGTTTTATACCCATATTACAATATTCAATTTATCTTATAAATTGAATTAAATGTACATTTTCAAACAGGTGGCAAATCTAAAAAAGTATTTTTGGCTGTAGGCCTTCTTTAGCCTCTTTCTTTTGACGCCCATATTGCAATATTCATTTTTTCTTATCAATTTACCTAAACTCCAACTTTCAAACAGGTGGCAACTCTCTAATTTTTTTCTTCCTAAATTTTAATTTAGACCTCTAGCAATACATCGGTGAAAACTGCATTCAAATCCATGCATTCGTTTTCGAGTGATGCGCGAACAAACATACAGACAGACAGACAGACAGACAAAAATTCTAAAAATGGTTGATTTGGGTTCTGGTGCTCTAAAAAAGACCCTCCACATTAATTTTTCCTTAATATCTATAATGTACAGACATCGACCTGTTACAATTTTATTATATGTATAGATACTGTACATAAAACTTGCATAAATATATTTTAAAGGGCGTAGTATCCAGCACGTATTATTTCCACTCTCAATAATTGAAATACTATCTTTAGCATATCCAATCAGCTGATGAATTTGATTCTGTAGCTGAATAGTTTTAGATCTCGACACTTAACAAACTCCTGTTTCCACTGCTCGGCACCAAAAAACTAAAAAAAAAAAAACAAACACAAAGGTTCCGTACGTCATGCGGACTGCGCCCCTCGTGTCGGTTGGGCGGGAATGGAGGGTAAAAAGCCGTTGGGATTAATTAATTTAATTTAATTTAAATCTGAAGAAAAATTTCAGTATTTTCCGGTGATATATCTTCAGAAACATAAAACCCCCCCTAAAATATATTCCTGGGTGCGCCCCTGCCTCAAGTAATCCTTTCTAGTACTTACCCGCCGGATCTCAGTTATTATCACCACACCGTACCATCCTAATGTCAGTAAACTAAAGCCTGTAAAAAATCATTCAACTGTTGCTGAGGAGGTATTTTGACTATTTCAGTAGAACTATTTGAAAAAAAAAAGTTTTTTCTTGCCGAATGTAGGTGTCACCGAAAAATTTAAAAGGACGATCACTAGGTTCGGCATAAAAAAAAATATTTTTTTTTTGAATTGCCTTGCAAAAATATTTTAAACTTAGGAATGTACGGTGAACTTTTTTGTTTGCTTGTAAGGTGGTACGGTCTGTAAACATATTTATATCTGCTTTTAACAGGTTATGCCAAAACGGCTGTATTTATACTCGACACGTTTGGCAGTTGTCCGCAACAATTCGGCATTACGCTGGTAAATTTGGAAAAGGTTATGGAATTCTCATCGGAGAGCGTGTATCTCGGAGTCAAGGTACAAAATCAAGCACAATTTACAGAATATTTTGTTTTACAGCCATGCAGTGAAGATTAAAACATATCTGCGGGATCAGCTTTTTTAACCTTTCAATGGATTTTATGTGGATGCGAAGAGAGTAAAAGCTCTTTCCGATTGACACCGCTTTATAGCCTGATTATGGCAACTTAACGTAACTTACGGCTCTCTCTTAAAAATTATGTTAAATGGGTGGTGCTTATAATTGAACAGCCGAAATTTAACGTAACTTAATTCCACGTCCAAATCTGTTTAATTTTGATTCTGTAAGTTCTACGTTCCGATAAGTTAAGTTAAGTTGCCATAATCAGGCTTTTAGAGTAGTGGCGTCTAAGAATTTTTACTTTGTGTGCGACTATATGAAAAGTAAAAATAAAATGCTTTAAAAAGCTTCCAACTCAGGAAATGGTTTGGTCGTAACTGATTTGGTCCAATGGTGGATAGAAGGAGCATTTATTCTGAGCGCGACATTTTAAAATCTTTAGAAAGCTGTAAAAAGTTTTTGGCGGTGGATATGTTTTGGTCGTAACTAATTAAGATCGAGTTTGGAGATTTGATATCGACGTAGAACGGTGAAATAGAGCATGACTTCTTTGTAGTTCGATACGTACGATAAAAGAGGCCCGTATTAGTTTATACATCACATTGCCTTTCTTTACTTCAACTTTGATAAATCGCCATAGATTCGAGCCATCTCGGGGGAACTTTGTTTCTATTTCGTCTTTCTGAAAGCTGGATAGAGAAATAAAAACAACAGGTATGCACTGAGCCCTGTGCTATACTCTCCACAATACCGCTTCTAGTCCTATATTCTCCAGAAGGTTTAGTCTTAGAATTTTCATTGAACTCATTGAGTCTAGACTTTTCTCCCGTCTTCCTGAAATGGTCTCACTTTCATGCAGCTGGTGGTGAGAAGAAAAACACGACAGAGATCATTTTACCAAATTCTTAACCTATACGGATAGCTTCGTAGTCTGCTTAGTCGAGTTTAATTAGAACAATGTATCTCTTCAGGTTGTACGCCATCAATTATGTATGCTTTTGGCTTGGCGACGTTTTCTGCTGCTTCACCAGTGTTGTTCTTTTACGTTAATCATCTCTTTCCAGAGCTCTTCCCGGATGGTGTTTGGTCCAACTGCAAGGAATGCTTCAGGCACTGTGTTAGTTGAGGCCGCTGCATTCCTAGCAAAGTGGTTCGCTACCTCTTGTCCACAATTTCCTGGTACCCAAAGCAGCTGAATGTCATTATGTTCAGAAAGGGCGTTGAGTTTCTCATTGCATTCCAACTAAATGATTTAACCTCAAAAAGGAAGAGAAGCTTGAGTGTCGCCTGACTTTCGCGAAGGATTCGGATTCTCTCGATACTTTAGTTTCTACGTAAGTTTATCTCTGTCCACCAACTGAGAGTGTAGGCTTCTGGTTATAAAATGTTTTGCCATAAAATTTCCTCTACCAAAGGAACAAAATATAGAGAGAGACTGTCTCTAATAGCGTTTGCTACGGCATTGGGAGGCCCTTCAATAGCACTGGGCTGATGCTACTTATATACCTTAACGGATTTTTAGTTATCGGACGAGTGCAATGGTGAATAGGGTTTTTGTCAGCTTCAAGTCTGATGAAGAAGATCTAAACTCTAGGAACTCCGTCTCTTCTTCACTGGAAGTGGCATCTGGTATGAGGGAAGTGGGCAAAAGCAGTGCGTGGGCTCCTTGGTGTAGGCACGATTTTATGTTCTAATCGCTCGCCTGACTTATGTATGTATGTCATCCAGCCAAGCGTTCGCGAAATCTTGCAGCAACGGGGCTAGACGAGGTACCAACACAAAAGTCCTCATCTCTTGACTGTGCTCTATCAAATTAGCTGAGTATTCATCCCAGCATCTTGTGAGCATGTGCGCTTTGTTAAAAAGCATATGCAACTCCTTGCTTAGCGCTAAGAGTTTCCGAGACCACCAAGTTTTATTTGGTTACGGAGCAGCTAGAGGTAAAGGCTAGCTGTCCTTGCTAAGCAAATAGCTAAGGTTTGTCAAGTTTGTTTGCCATGGTTTTCTCC